GGAAAAAAACCACATTAAAGAAGGTAAACGACTCTCTACAAATGCCCAAGTGCTGGTTGCTAAGACAACTGCTGGGGTTTATTGAATACAGAGCAAAAAAATCAATCAGAAATCACTGGAAGACCTTGCACGGGTACGTAAAACATTTCTGCCTCATAATTGCAGGAAACTTCCTACATCTGTGTACCACATGAAAAGGGATTCTGTTTGTGTCAGTTGGTGGAATTCCAAGGAAAGTCACCTTCTTTATGTGTTCTCACCATTTTAATTCCCTTTCATAACATGACCTTCTCAACACCCAAGTAATTTATTAATATTACAGTGGTAAAAAAAAAAAAATGTAGCCCGTTACCTGCCTCTTCTGTACCCATGTCACTTAATTCTTGGCTCCCAAGAATGACTCCCACTCTTGGCTTCTTTGAATTAAACAGTTTTCAGGTTTATATATAGAAATCATTTACATCTGTGTAGCATTTTCTTCCCCCAATGTGGTATATGCTTGACTCATCAAGAAAACACAAGGAGGGAGAGATGGTCTCAGGAAGCTACCCTGCCAACCTCTCCCAGATTTCCTTTCTATCTCTCTCAGGGAATCTATTATTCTCTATTCCTAGCTTCCTGAGGTGCTAAGACAACTAATAAAAGATTGCCAAGTTTTTCAGACTTTTAGTGGAAAACATTGTTAAGTTGATGGAATAGAGTGAAGCCCTATGGATGAAATAAAAGATCAAGGGTAGCCACATGCAGCCAGACATCAGCTGTTATGACCTTCTCATGGCAGCTGCAAGAACTTAGTAGGAGGGTTTTTATGGTCATTGGGTGATAGCCTTTAGTCTAATGAGCTCATTAATCACATAAGGAAATGGTTAGTCTCTCAGACTGGACTGTGCATAGTTCATTTATGAGATGACCAAGTAACAGTAACCAAGTAGCAGATGACCTATTGAGATCTCCGCTTCTCTAATCTGTGCTACACACTCCCCACAGATTAATCCCAAAGTGCACCCTTCAGAACAGGGTTTTTCAAATTTTAGTGGGTTGAGGCATATTAGTGGATCCTAGCATATATTTAGTGAGTTGAAAACTTGAAAAGAAAAATGATGAAAAATAATAGAAAAGAGGATAGCATCAGAACAAATCTCATCTAATAAGGGTAAATGTGTATTGTGAAACTTCCATTTCATTCTCTTTCTATGTAGGTATGCACTGGCTTGCTAGACTGGATCCATTTCATACATTTCTGGTCCTGACCAGAAAGGTTAGAAAGCCAGACTCCTCCCTGCTAAGAATTCCTCAGTGATCTCTCTTGTATAAAAATAAAAAAAAAAGAAAACAAAGAAACAATTCCAACTCCTCTACTGAAAGGCTGGAATTGTCCCCCAAATCCACTCTACTTCCATAACATTATGCTGGGTTCCAACTTTTTCACTCATTGTCCTCCCAGTGTTCCTCTCAGGATCCTTATTCCAATGTGCCCTTTATTCATAATGTTTCTTCTCAATGTTTCTTCTTAATGGTTTTCATATTCTACTCTCCTTTTTGGGACCATTCAAAACTTATCTTGTCATTTAACCATACGACTGCTAGTTCCTCTCATCACTCACCTCGTCCTAGCTGTTCTGCTCATTTCCATATATTCTCTCTCTGTTTCCTCTGCATTGCTCTTTATCTATCTCCCATCCCACTTCATTCCCAAACCTCCTGCCGACAACCTGTGTCTGCCTCATTCCGTCTGATGCTTTCCTCTTAGCATGCACCTCCAGCTTACCATATCCTCATTATCCTATTTTCTTGTTGTTTTATAATTCCTGCTCTCTTGTGTATATCTCTGGTATCCCCATTTGACTGAAAGCAACTTTAGCCTAGGAACTGTGGATCATAGTACTTTGGTATCCCTTATAATGTCTGGCACAGTGCAGAATATATAGCACGTGCTCAGTAAAAAAAGAAAAAACAAAACAAAAAACCTTGAATCAATAAATCAGTCATGGCCATTGCAGCCTCTCCTCTTATGCAGTGGCCCCTGCCATGCATAAGTCACCCCCCATGACCTCCTCCGCATCCCCTCCCCACCCCACAAGGCGGGCTTGTATGCTGTGGGCCAGACTCAGGAGCAGATGCCTATATGTGGTTCCCATACACACAGCTGTGCCCCAGAAGCCATGCAACTAAGGAAGAAGAGATGAAATCTTTGCTCACACCTACACAAACAATGGATTTACCCAGAAACTGGCTTTGTATACTCAGCACCTGCAGAATGTCTGAATGGACAATGAATGTTCCTGCAGCTGAGACAGGTCTAGCTTTTGCAGCTGTGGACTTTGTAGGCACGTCCACAGTGGATGTTGGACCAGGCCAAAGTCTGAGCTGCCCCCTTATCACCCATAGTGGGTCCGGATCTATGATTACTGCAATCCTGGGACTGATGTCAGGGGATCTGTGCTGGTAGCTTGGTGAAAACAATGCTCAGGAAATATCCAGGTGGTTCAGTGGGTAAAGAATCCGCTTGCAGTGCAGAAGACACAGGTTTGATCCCTGGCTTGGGAAGATCCCCTGGAGAAGGAAGTTGTAACCCACTACAGTTATTCTTGCCTGGAGAATCCCATGGACAGAGGAGACTGGTGGGCTACAGTCCAAGGGGTTGCAAAGAGTTGGACATGACTGAAGTGACTTAGCACACACGCAAGAAACACCAGGGCCAACTGCCTTCATACAGATAGTTAAGGTGGGAATGAGAGCACTGTCAGTAACAGTATAATCCTGCACAACAGATCAAAGGTGACACAGCAGGACACACCTACATGTGAGTAGCTCAAGAGAAGGAATACTCCATGGCTTCTGTCCCAGTCGGTGTGCTCCAATCTCATCTAACTCACAGCTCAGATCAGAAACACAGCTAAGAAACAGATCTGGGAGCTGCTACTCCAAGAACTAGGGAGTGGACCCTGCCCCTGACAGGGTAGTGACAACCACAGAACAAAAGGAAAGCCCTGCTCAATATCCAGTGCAGACTCTGGTTACCACAACATCCATCATGCCTCCCATCAAGGAGATAATGGACAGCATACACTGAAGGAAGACGTGGCAGACATCTATACTAAAAGCTGCAAACAACAACAACAACAACAACCACCCACACAGGCTACACAGAAATGTCCCTACATAAGAACAGCCCCCCAAGACACAATCTGAGGGTCTGCCATTTGAAAGAAGAACCCCCAGAGCATTTAACCTTGAAGACAAGCAGAGGTTGAGTGCGGGAGCTCCACAGGGCTGAAGAAAACAGAGTCCATTCTTAGAGGGTACACACAAGGTCTCGTGCACTGGGACCAGCAAAAAGAAGTACATACATAGGAACCTGGGATAGACCTACCTAGGGGTCTTGGAGGGTCTACTGGGAGGTGAGGGTCAGTTGTAGCTCACTGTGGGGGCAAGGAGACTGGTACTAGAGACCCCAGGGAATTCTGGCCAGTGTGAGCTCTCTAGGAGGTCCCAGTTTTGGTACCAAGACACAGTCCAACCCAGCAACCTACAGCCTCCAGTGCTGGAAAGCCTCAAGCCAAACAACAAAGTAGATAGGAATATAGTATCACCCATTAGGAGACAGGCTGTCTGAAGTTGCACTGAGCTCACAGCCACCTCAAATCACACCCCCTGACACTCCCTTGCCCACCAGAGGAACAAGACCCAGCTCCACTCACCAGGGGGCAGATGCCAGTCCCTCCCACCAGGACACCTACCTCACCCCAGGACCAGCCCCTCATCCACCAGGGGCCAGACACCAGAAGCAAGAGGAATTGTGATCCTGCAGTCTGTGGAAAGGAGACCACAAACACAGAAAGACAAAATGAGAAAACAAGAGAAATGTGTGCAGATGAAGCAACAAAATTAAAACCCAAAATAACAACCAAAGGAAGAGAAGAAGACAGGCAATCTACCTGAAAAATAATTCAGAGTAATAATGGTAAATATGATTCAAAATCTCAGAAAAAGAATGGAGGCATAGACCAAGAAGATACCAGAAATGTTTTAAAAAGAGAAGATTTAAAGAACAGAGGTGAACAACATAATAACTTAAAAAATACACTAGAAAGAATCAATAGAATAACTGAGGCAGAAGAACAGATAAGTGAGCTGGAAGACAGAATGTGGAAATCACTGCCACAGAACAGAATGGAGACAAAAGAATAAAATGAGGACAGTTACAGAGACCTCTAGGGAGGGTGAGTGTGAGTGTGTGTGTAACTGACTCACTTTGTTGTACACCTGAAACTAACACACTGTAAATCAACTATACTTCAATAAAAATTATTTTAAAGATCAGTCATGATCCCCTCCTTTGTACCAAAATTCTACCCTATTGACGCCAACATTTTTTCCCAAGATAGAATCTTTTACATTTGAATTGGCTTTTCCATTTCTCAAGTTTTTTTCATATCTCTCATCTCAGTTGCTTTTATCTACAAAGACTTAATAAAGTAGGCATGAGTCATGATACTCATTCTTAAAAGATGAGGAGATTGAGTCTCAAAGAGGTTTGTAACTGTGACACACATTGCCACCAGTGTACTTAGAACCAAAATCTAACACAACCTATTCTGTGCCTATTATCCACCCTCCTCCAATGGAAACTTGAAAGCAATAAGCACATAGAATAATAATGTGCTCTCAGTGTAAAGTGTTGTATATAGAAGAAAAGCCCCCAAGAAATAGCAAACGAGGCATAGCCTGTCTGTTTTATGCAATGAGAATCGGAACACCGTGTTCTAGATCCAAATGCTGGCTGTCTATTTTGCTTCTGTAATTGTGCTTGTATTCTAAGGATGCCACAGAAACGGGCAGAAAAATCCATGTACTGCTAGCGGGTAATGTGTTGGCTTCCACTGTCGGATTGACAATCTTTTCATTTAATTCATCTTAGCAATTAGCTGGGACTCTGTTCTGTGTTACAAGTAATTAACATGTTCTTTTTCTTGTTAATTTGATAATTTGTTTCTTACCAAGCTGTTCTCCTAAATGTTGGCCCCTCTCGGTTGAGATGACTCGCTCATCTTCCATGTCACATTTGTTCCCAACCAGGATAACCTGGGCATTATCCCATGAGTACGTTTTGATTTGAGTTGACCTAAAAAGAAAATAAAAAAAAAGGCACAAAACTGATCAGAGGAAAGTACAACAGCATAAAGTGAAGGAGGAGAAATATATCCCACAGAGATATGATGGTAACAGCAAAAAATGAAGCCCAGATGCCTGACATTTAGAATTAATTAGTTCAGTGCAAGTCTACCCTTCAGATACTCATTTGGGATCACATGAGTCAAAAATCAGGGGAACTGTGGTGTTGTATTTAGAATTCCTCTGTATTTGATGAGATTAATATTACTGATGCTTCTTGCTTCTCTTCTACTCCACATTCCACAGTACTTTTATAACTGGAATGAGTGGCCAGTCATCCCAGTTTGCCCAAGATGTTCCCAGTTTTAGCAGTAAAAGTCCTTTGTCCCAAGAAACCCCTTAGTTCCAAGAAACCTGAGGTGGCTGGTCACTATTTACAGTCCATCACAGGAAAACTTCATTTTACCATGTTACAATCACAACTTAAAGAGCTAAGACAATTGGGTTAGGAAATATGGGGGCAATTATAATGTTAAAAAAAAGATTATAATAATATTCTCATGCTTACATTTTTCAGAGAAAAATGCCAGGTTTGTTAATATCACAATTACAATACAATGAGCTAGTGTTTTAAGTTTCAGAGTAAGCTTCCAGTACGGATCATAAGGCTCATAACCAACTTTTGATTTCAATACTTAGATGGTAATTATAATAGCTAATATTTACAGGTACTGTTTTAAACTCTTTATGTATGTTAACTTAATCCTTAGAGTAACTCAATGGAGATACCATTATGATCTCCATTTTATAGTCGAGGAAAATGAGGCATAGAGAAGTTAAAAAATTTACTCAAGACAATCAGCTAGTAGAGCAGTAAATCTGGAAATCAAACCAAGGCAGCAAAGTTCTTAAACACACGTCAGTACTAATTAAAAGTTTGAGAAGTTAAGTTCTAGTGTATTTGCTGTCATTTCAGAAAAGAAGCTGAAAGGAAGCCATGTTCTTTAATCCTCCCTTTTTATTGGCCACGTTCTTACTTGATAACTATTCAAGATAGGTGGGAAAGACACATCACCCAGTGGGTGGTCAAGAGAGAAATCGAAAACCTAAAAAAATGTTGAAAGTTTAATGAAGGGATTTGTAAAGTGTCAAAAAGAGAAGCTGGGTATGTTCTTACTAGCAACTGTCAAATCCTTCAGGATTTTTAAATAGAAAATAGTGGTGAACTGTTTTCAACTTGAAGAGAGAATGAAAGCCAATAGCTTTAAACTGCAGCAGGAGAGCTTTCAATGAGATGTCACCACTATTTCTCCCTTCCAAGAAGAAAGGAGAGAGCTAAGAGGCAGACAGGGTCTGATTTCAGAGTACTTCCGCAAACCAAGTACAAGTTTTCAAATGAGATTAAAATATCTGGTGAAAGATACCTTTGGTTCCATGTGAGCATCTCAAGGTGCGACATATTTTATCAAAAAAATCCAGGGATAGGACCTTTCTAATTCTGACACCTAAGTTAATAATATATTCCTCTAGCAACAGTGACATTCACTGGGAAAATAAAGGCAGACATTCAAAACCTAAACTTTTTCACTTACCTCATCTTATATAAGTGTGGAGTATATGAAAAATGAAGAATTAAGAGTAAATTAAGGTGTAAAAAGTATTTTATATCTGGACACATCTTAAACCTCAAGTGGTAACATAACTATACAAAGAAATTTCAGAGGTTCTTTGAAAGGAACTCTAATCACATTTCCTTAGGTAATTAAAAAAAAAAAAAGAAAAATTATCCCTTTGCTCCTATCGTTCTTGTTGGCCAAGGCTTGGCCTATGCCTGGAAAAGGCCTAGGTTGAGAGCCCCTCTGTTAATGGGGAAAGTTCTTATCTTGGCACACAGCTAGAAATAAAATATGCAGAATGAGGTTAAGGAAAGCAGTCTCAGGAGAATGTCCTACTTGCATAAGGGGTTGGGGCTGGCATGGCTTGCTGAATTTACCAAGGACAAATGCTTGCCTGAAAAAATTCAGCCCAGGATGGGGGTGCACTTTTGTGAAGGTTAAAAAAACAAACAAAAAAAACCACAAGATGATTTTTACTGTTTAACCAGGTTAAAAAAACAAAATAAAAATCTTCCCTGGTGGCTCAGATGGTAAAAGTATCTCCCTACAATGCAGGAGACCCAGGTTCGATCCCTGGGTTGGGAAGATCCCGTGGAGAAGGAAATGGCAACCCACTCCAGTACTCTTGCCTGAAAAATCCCATGGACGGAGGAGCCTGGTAGGCTACAGTCCATGGGGTCGCGAAGAGTCGCACGTGACTGAGCGACTTCACTTTCTTTCACTTAACCAAGTTAATGGAATGCTTGCTTTTCCCATTAAATATGTCTCTCAGTTCTGCTAACATAATAACTCATGGAAGTCTTAGGATGCCACAGTGATAGATTATGCATCTATTCATACACAATATTCCCTCTTTATACTATATATATAGTATATATATGTGTGTATAATTTGGGGAGGCCATGATTACATCAAACATACCACTTTCTGTTTGTTTTTATATAAGAAATACTTTACTGTAACCTCTGCAATGTCTTAAATTGTCAAGGAAATAATTTAAAATGAACATTTTCTATAATTACCAAGGAGTTCTACAGAACCATTATCTTAAAAGCTTAAAGAGCCATTGGAGATCATTTCTTTTTTAAATCAAGTAATAATTATGGTCTGGGCTATCTGTGCTGAGGTGAACAAAACATTAATTTGCCATCAAAGCTGGTTAATCGAGTAAGATTTGTTTTTGACTAGTTTGGACTTCCTGACAATGTGCACCATCAACAGGGTTCAGTTCAGTTCAGTTCTCAGTGTCCAACTTTTTGCGACCGCGTGGACTGCAGCACGCCAGGCCTGCCTGTCCATCACCAACTCCCGGAGCCCACTCAAACTCATGTCCACCAAGTTGGTGATGCCATCCAACCATCACATCCTCTGTCATCCCCTTCTCCTCCTGCCTTCAATCTTGCCCAGCATCAGGGCCTTTTCAAATGAATCAGTTCACATGAGGTGGCCAAAGTATTGGAGTTTCAGCTTCAACATCAGTCCTTCCAATGAACACGCAGGACTGATCTCCTTTAGGATGGACTGGTTGGATCTCCTTGCAGTCCAAGGGACTCTCAAGAGTCTTCTCCAACGCCACAGTTCAAAAGCATCAATTCTTTGGCGCTCAGCTTTCTTTAGAGTCCAACTCTCACATCCATACATGACTACTGGAAAAACCATAGCCTTGACTAGATGGACCTTTGTTGGCAAAGGAATGTCTCTGCTTTTTAATATGCTGTCTAGATTGGTCATAACTTTCCTTCCAAGGAGTAAGCATCTTTTAATTTGATGGCTGCAGTCACCATCTGCAGTGATTTTGGACCCCAGAAAAAAAAAGTCAGCCACTGTTTCCACTGTTTCCCCATCTATTTGCCATGAAGTGATGAGACCAGATGCCATGATCTTAGTTTTCTGAATGTTGAGCTTTAAGCCAACTTTTTCACTCTCCTCTTTCACTTTCATCAAGAGACTCTTTAGTTCTTCTTCGCTTTCCGCCATAAGGGTGCTGTCAATCTGCATATCTGAGGTTATTGATATTTCTCCCGGCAGTCTTGATTCCAGCTTGTGCTTCATCCGGCCCACAGGGTAGCTTTAGGCAAAGTCCAGTCACCAGCTACAGGAGATCAAAACCATACTGACTGATTTATAAACTACCACATATAATAGAATCTAAGCAGCATGGATTATAAGATAAAAATTACTTAATGAATGGCTCAGAACAAAAAGAAGCAGCCAATGAAACTACAATACAATGCTTTAATAATAACCTTGCTAGGCAAACTTGTCACTCACATCAGCTTGTTACTTTGAAAAAGTTTTTCATGTATTCTGAGGGATTTAGTAAATTTTTCTATCTTTAGTTGCTTTGTTCATGATACTTTGTATATGAGAGATGACCATCCCATGACTGTCTCAGTAAGAAAGGTCAACAAACATACCCTTCTGCTTGTGGGTATCTTCCCTTAAGACCTATAGAGCACTAGGTTGTTGCCTTACGGGAAAATATGAAATGATAGTCATTACTCCAAAATGAGTATTCACATCCCTATTATAAAACTGATACCCCTTCTTGCATGCAAAATAACTTTATACCCACGCCCTAATAATTCCACAGTTGACAATATACACAATTATGACCAAGTTAGCACATGTGTAGGCAGTGGAATCAATTTTTCATAAAGCATCAGCAATTATAATAAGCCATTAATTACAAGACACATCCCAATTTCAGATATGTTAAAATATGAATAGTTCTGCATCTTAGATTCTGCAAAATACTATTGTTTTCTTGGTATTTTTTTTATACATGAAGACCTAGGTTGAAATAAGAGCTTGTATCATTCCTTTAGCTCAGGAAAACTTGGAGATGAGAAAATATAAACCCCATGAGCTGAGAAAGCCCCAGAGCTGTATTTCATCTAGAGTATAATATGAATTAAGATCAGAAGAATGTGGGGATGATAATCCAGTCCCCATGCTTTCCAACTCAGAATCCTAACAGTTTATTCAGTTAATTTAAAAGAAAGCACTAATACTAAGTGGGTATAGGAACGTCACACTGCATTCTTTAGCTTCAGCATCTTCATCTATAAAATGAGGCTGCCACATTTTGCTTTTAATCTCTGGGGCTGTTGTAAGACAAATGTGGTTTGAGGTAGGATCATGCTCTACTCTCTAAGTCGCAGACATCTTTTTACAAATATTAAACACTGTTAGTCCCAGCTTGGGCAGCCAGCTGTTTCTCTTTCTAAATCCAGCTCAACATCCCTTGTAATTTCTACCATCTAAATAATACTTTGTCTTTTCTTAATTGAAAAAAGGTTGTCTTGTGTTTGCTTGTCTCAAATCTCATGTCCATTTCGTTTCTTGAGGCTGAGGTTCTAGACAAATACATTTCTAACTGGGAGTAAATGGT